AAAAAAAGTCAGTTATTCTACAACGTTTCATGATTCTTTATCACTAAACATTAACAAACACTCGTTTTGACGCACTCCGTTCTGTAGCGTGTCTGCTGTTTAAAACAAACTTCCTAGCCTAATTTTGTAACTGGTTATGATGACTGAGATGGAGTATGTTGATTTATTAATAATATTTTGTTTGGGATAAAAAAAAAAAAGGAGAGTCCATTTCCCCAAAATGCTCCATCAGCACATAGTTTAGTGTGCGCGATGGACAGTATGGCTATGGAATTTACTAACCACACAATCCACATTTAGGTGATTAAGTCGCAAAACTTTATTTGATTTGGTGGATTAAGTCGCAAAACTTTAGCTTCGTTTGGTGGCACCATTTACTCTAGGTAGACGGCGACCGGTTTCGTTACCGGTTGGTACATTTCTTACAAACATTCAGCCAAAGGCCAGTGAAAGTTGAGACGGCAGCCGTGTTTTTATCGATTTTTGCCATCCTTATGTGTGCCATCGTAAAGGAATTGCGTTTTAATTTAAATCTCCGAACTTCTGAAGCTGACATATCCTATGAATGTAGGCTTGTAATGCAGGCTACAATTTAAAAACGGGTGGGACTCATTCAAAAATTCGAGGGGGTTCGCTAGAAAACAGGGGGGTTCGCTGGAAAAGGGGGGTTCGCCCGAACCATAAAAACCCCCCCTGGCTACGGGCCTGAAAATGTTCTATTTCTACGAATTCTAAACTATAACGAAACTATTCTCTTTTTGCGGTTTTAAATTTGGCAGATGGACCATATTTTTTTACAGGGAGTACATTATGCAATCGTTAAACACAGATTGACGATATATAGACAGGATTGACGATATATACTTATATTAAAAGACTGGGTTGTATCCCGGTGGTCTTGGCAAATATGTGTGTGTGGGTGTGTGTGTGTGTGGGGGTGGGTGTATGTGTGGGGGTGGGTGTGCATTGTCTTGTGTGTGATGTGGTTGTTTGTGTAAGGTTTTGACATGTGTGTGATTGGTTGTGTTTGTAAGTTTAGACATGTGTGTGATTGGTTTGTTTGTAAGGTTTAGACATGTGTGTGATTGGTTGTTTTTGTAAGGTTTAGACATGTGTGTGATTGGGTGGTTGTGTAAAGTTTTGACATGTATGTGATGATGATTGTTGTGCGAGTCGTATAATTGTGTTTGGGACATTTTTCGTCAATCAGTTGATATATTATCTCCTCAACATTATAATTAAAAATCAATATTATAATATACCTTAATATAGAAAATTTAAAGTCTACACCTTAAGTAATAGATGTGAAAAGATTTCTGTGAATTCTAAATCATAATGACACACAATGTGTTCGATTGCGATTTGAAATTGGGCAAATGGATCATGGTTTTACAAAAAGTACATTATTAAATTATTTTTAAAAAAATTGACGTAAATTAATAACTTAGTTTAATTAATTAAAGTTAACAATAACATAATAATAATAATAATTCATTTTTTTTGGTTAGGCGCATAACAATGTAAGAAAAAATACAGCAAATAAACTGTAAACCAACCGACCCCAACATTTTAAAAATATTCTGTGAAAAATTATACATAAAAATCAATATTTCATTAAAAAATAGTTTTGCTCTTTTAATTTTTAAGCCTACTTTTACCGTTTCTATTATTCAATTAAATTCAAATTTATTTCGGGTTAAAATTCGTACAAAAAATACATATATCAAAATTACAAGAACAGTAAAAACAAAGAGTGCTGCCAACCCACGATGACCAAAAGTACATAAACGTGGTACTGTCATGTGGCTCTCCGAGGCAGCACTCAATAGAAAAGAAAAGGAAGAGAAAAAGAAAAAAATAACACATGTATTAGTGTCAACTTTTATATTAGGTATAGGCCTATACACATTATAAAACTGCTACCTTCCCTAAAATCGAAATAACGTAGAGAAAAAAAAAAAACAAAAGTATTACTTACCACTTATTTATATTGGTGGCTCTGTGACAAGGCTCTACTTGGTTCAATAGAGATTTCAGGTATATATTTGTTCTAACCGGAGATCATATTTATAGTATGGTAATACGAAAGATAAGCACTCAATCAACAAATCACCTAGTACATCATTTCACGGTAAATATAGACTTTCTTACGCATGCTGTGATTACTTAAATCAACTGCACCATGACTAGGGCTGAGGTACAAACTTGTTACATGGCGATGGTCGGAAATGGCACTGTCAGACTCAAAATTGGAATATGATTTTATTTCATTTATTTTTAAATTTGTAAAATTGGGGATCCTTCCTGATGATTCTGCCTATGTCAATGGTATTTATTGATAAAGCGCCTAATGATTCATTAAGATGTTTATCACATTTTTTAAGACAAGGAAAATAATGGAATCATGAAAAATTAGTCTATAATCTAGCGGACCGCAAAGTTTCCGCGGACCTCTCGCGGACATTACTAGGCGAACCCCCAATCATTTTTCGTGGACCCACTGCGGACCCTTTTGACTTGGCGGACCCCGAATTATTTTTCGTGAATTCCAGGTTTGGAACCACTGATTTACACAATGGTAATACAAAAGGTAAATAAATATACAACGGCCGTATCAAATCACCTATGTACATCATTCCAAGGTAAATAAAAACTTGCAGTTATTATTACGCAAAACAAATTAGCGGCGATTATATTTAAAGTATGGTAATACAAAAGCTAACTATACATCAACGGACTTAACAAATCACCTGGTACATCATTCCACGGTAAATATAGACTTGCGCATGCGGTGATTAAGCAAAAAACGTACCACTAGAGATCATATTTACAGTAATTTACATTGCGATTTTTATCTTTGTGTTCTTTTTGTGTATTTGATATTTTAATAATGTCAACTTATCGTGTATGAGTGTGTGCCGATATAAAGGTGTTTGTTCAATAAATTATTATATTATTATGGTAATTCAAAGGAATATACAACAGACGTACCAGTCACCTAGTATATCATTCCACGGAAAATAGACTTTTTTTATACGCATGTGGTGATTAAGCAAAACTACCGTACATCAGCAGAACTTTAGTAGGAGCATCATCAGTGGTAGAAGTACGGAGCATTAGTAGAATAAGTAGTGCAACAACAACAGCAGCAGTAGTAGTAGTGGTGGTAGTAGTACTGGTGGTGGTAGCAGGGGTGGCGCCAGGATTTGACCGACGGGGGGTTCGATGTCCCTGACTAGGCGAAGGTGGCCGACTCTCCGACGAGAACATAAGTGGGCACCCAAAATCTATCGGCAGTAATCTATTAATATGTAAAATATTTACAATTTACATTTTCCCCCACGAAGTGTGTTTTCCCGTCAACGGGACGTGGGGGAGGTGGGAGCTCTCCATCACTGGGAATTTCTTTTCACGTCTTCTTAAATAAACGAAATAAATAACGCAATGTTTTTAAGATATCACATTTTCATTTATTTTATATACGGTAGAGTTTATATATGGCACATATACAACAAATCAATGCGCTTTTTTTTCTAGTGATTTGATGCAGAATTAATAATTGTAACGTCTCATTTATGCCGTTAATGAAAATGAAAAACGTTAGTAAAATATGTAGGCCTATGTAGACAACCTACTACTGGGGTGGATAAGCCTAGACGGAGGTGTATCTGGAGGGGGTTTATTCCCTAAAGCTCCAGAAAACGCTTGCGCACATTTATTCACCACACCCACGTCTAACCAAGGCAAAACAAGTTACACTCATGAGGTAAAATAATTTTGTATGGAACTAAAGGAAGGCTGAAATATCGTTTCATTTTCCCGAAAAGAGTTTCTTACCCTTATATTTTCCCTCCAGTATACATATACAAATAACATAGGGCTATATATATATATACACACACACACACATCGGTAGACCAGAGCGGATATAAATAAATAAAAAGCAAGGTTCAACAGTAGCTTTGATTAGACATTTTATTACTCAATAAAATGTCATTAAAGCTACTGCTGTCTCTTATACACATCTAGATGTGTATAAGAGACAGCGTCGTAGCCACTTGACCATGAAGGCGTTATGGTAGAAATAGAATTTAAGTTCCTTCTTTTCTTTTAACGTGTCTGAAGTCACAATTTTGATATAACATTAATCTAAATCACTTTATAAATAAACAAATAGACAAATTATAGAAACTAGGCTTAAAGTTGTAAAACAAATGTTGTTAAAGTGTGTCAGGCAGGCCCTTCAACGAACAATTGTGTGAAAAATGTCTCCGGCGGAATTCACGTGGGTATCACGCGTAATCGCGACCATGCGTGATGCGCAGTAATACCACCTAATCATTTATTGTAATCAGTAATACTCGTCGATTGATTCCTCTTTGAAAACATAACGGTTGCTTTTCGCTTATTTCGAATGAGCCTTAACGTTTTCTTCACCTGTAAAATAAAACAAATGGAAATCAGCTTTCGCTTCAAAAATATTCCTTTTTTTTTTATTTACCGGCGTATAATAGATCTGATGTTAGCTTCATTAATAATGATAAGAATGAAAGTTATCACGCCACCACCCGGACCCCGGTTATATTAGGTACCAGTAAAATATTGTATGGTTTTGTATGCGTTAGTAACACGGGTTGTGCAAAGATTTGCCCGAAGGAAGTTCGATGTCTCTGACGGGGTCTCCGACGAGAGCATGGGTAGTGGACGTGCGTCCCCCAAAATATTTTGGAAGTGGTAGGCCTACTGAGGCGAAGCCACAGGAAACTACGAGAATTTAGTGTTCTCTAATGCTTATTTAATTTTGAGTTTGCTAATTTTAAAAAATACATATAACTATTTTCTCATCGACGAATTGTGTGTTTGCTTGTGGGGCCCCACTGGCTCTAGCCCTGGTTATGAAAAGTGTATATAGGTAGAGAATGGTGTATCGGGCACCCCCACCCCAGAAGTAGGGCCTACATTTTAAATTGAAATCTATAGATCGAAAAATATGGGTTAAAAACGATGTTTGAAAATTCTCAAAATTTAAAGTAGCAAATTTGAAAAGAATGGGTTCAATTCCTGTGACAGGAGGATTTTTTTCTGACGACTGAAAACGGCTCCACTCCGTGATCCATGGGTCTCATAAACCATCATGTTATTTCATTCATTTAAGATGTCCCTTAAATATTAGTCGACAGTCTAGGATAGACCGGAAGGGTCATCTTCTGTAAAAGTGGTTGGAAAAACTCACTACTGCGTGTGAACAAATCCTAAGCGTTACCATGGTATAACGAAAGACAGCATCTCGTCCGATTTCTTGCTTGCTTTTTTGTATGCCTATTTATGAGCATAGGCCTACTTATACTGTAATTCATTTATTTCTTTCTTTATCATTCTTCTGGGAGAGCGAATACATATAAAATATATTTAAATATATTAAAATTACATAAGTACAATATAAGGAATGTGGGTATACTTACCTCATTGTTATCTAAACAGTGGAACAGCAATATAAAAACACCCTGAAAAAAACATACAAATCCGTTAACGTTTTTTAAACTAGAGTACAAAGATCATTGCGGTTAGTTCACATTAGCACAAAAAAGCATATAAGACGCGCCCACAAAAAAGCATAAGACGTGATGTTTAAGTGAATTATTTCAGTTTCCGTTTCAAAAAACAACCAAAATAGAAAAAAAAACCCATAAAGTACGTTAGGGGTTAGGCCTGCTCTTGAGAGTGTTGCTGCGTGCGCGTGTACATGTGGTGGATTCACACTTTGAGAGTCGACGAGAGTCACTGTCGTAAGTGTTGATTGTATGTAAAGTAACTCAATTAAGCCCTTTTCACACTATGCTGCTTCTGACCCGGAGTAAACATTGGAACGTATGTTAATGATATGTTCGTGACTTGGTGCATTTCACACCGACTACATGGCTACCTTATTCAGTGCAACCTGTAATGAACATTTCACAGACACATAACTAATTATTTCTGCCCTAGGTAGACCTGGCATTTTTTTGTGTGTGTGAAGGCTATATTTTCAGTTGACTTACATTAAAAGATGAACAACTGACTAACCAAAACGTGATATTTAGAATAAGTAATATGCCATGCCTCAGAAATACGCAGGATTACATTTTTATGTCATTTTCTGGGACCTTAGCAACGATAAGGGGAGGACATCCACAAATCGATTCGTCCATTCATTTATAATTTCATTCATTAGTTCGTGCATTTATCATTCATTCATTTGTTAATTGATTGGTCAGTTTGTTAGTTGATTGATTAATTAATTGATTGGGGGAGTGATTGATTGATTGATTGATTAATTGATTCAGCCCACCATTCATTCATCAAAACATTCGTATCAAATCTACCTGCAATCCATTGAAAATGACGAAGAGGTTTGAGCAGGATTCCACTTTAGTTGTAGCAGCTACGAAGCCGAATATCCACGTCAGACCAAGTATTGGCTGAAGAAGCAAAACTGCTTTTATACTGGCTCTGTTTTATATAAAAAAACATTGATAAATACTAAAATATTCTATTATTATTATTATTATTATTATTAATAATTATAGTAAGAAAAATATTAAGAATAACAACAGCAACGACAACAGTAATAATAATAATAATAATAATAATAATAATAATAATAATAATAATAATGTTAGTAATATTAATAATGCTACGTCTTATTGGTGTTTTGTGTCTTACCTATATTTTTCAATTTTATGCTTGTTTTTGTTTGATCTCAAAGACAAGAATGTACGGATGACAGACGCAAGACAAACAGAATTAATCTAGATAAAAAAAAATTTTACAAAAATTACAAAATGCCAGAGTTAATACACGTAAGAATACACCTTGCAAGGTCAGACAACCATAATATTCTGTTGTATAATTCAACCGTTGTCCTGTAAAAGGCTGAATTCTCCCGTTACATAACATGTTCTATAATACGCGAACTGGTGCATTATCAAGGTACTGATCTGGATGCACACTACGCCCACCGTTGTCGGCCGACTCGATTCGAAGACCACGATACGGATACTTTCAAAGACCATGCTGTACATAAACTGTGTCTACACTACTACAATTTTCAAACTGTCTTGCCTACCAAGGTCTAGTATTAAAGAGATTTTAGCCTACTCCATAGCGTTCATCCACGCAAGCACTGCAGTAAACTCGTGTAGCAGTTCATCTATGGAGGAAATTTCCTCCATGGTTCACCTAACTGACCTAAAATAGCACCCTCTATAATTTCTGCCTTAACTGTATAATGCCGCGCGCCATCGGTCATCACTCATTCAGCAGACGGTGTGACATAGTCAAGCTCTTATATTCATGCATTGGAGCTGCTCGAGCTACAGCATAATTTAAAATAGTCACGCACCGTCACTAAGTTCAAGCTATGACATTGAATGGGTAAAAATAATAAAGGATCGTACCAAAATATTGAGCACCACGGTTGCGTAGAAGACATATATGCTGCCGCTCTCAGCGGAAAGCCAACACCTAGCGGACAAATCAGACATGCGTATTACAATTAACAAACGCCTGAAAAAGACTTCCATCGGTTGAGTAATTATGAGAACTTAATTTAATAATTAAAATAATTACTTTTATAATTAAAATAATTAAAATTAATGTATGAATAATAATAGTAGTAAAATTACTATTAATTATTAACTATTAACATTCATATTAGTGATATATTTTTTATTTTTTTATTTATTCAGGTTTAAAAACATGTAGAAAACAGTACAAGACTGCAAACAATCCAAATTTACAATATAATAATATTAATAAAAATAAATGTATAAAAATATTGATCATAATAACAGTAGTAGTAGTAGTAGGCCTATAGTAGTAGTTTTAGTAGTAGTAGTAGTAGTGGTGGTGGTGGTGGTGGTGGTAGTAGTAGTAGTAGTAGTAGTAGTGGTAGTAGTAGTAGTAGTAGTAGTAGTAGTAGTAGTAGTAGTGGTAGTGGTAGTAGTAGTAGTAGTATGTAGTAAGAGTAGTAGTAGTACCGTAGTAGCAGAAATATTCTTACGTTTCTTTTGCACGATAATTGTTTTTGAATACTCCATAACTGACTGCAACGATAACAAATGGAACAACTGAAATTAGAAATAATAAAAATATAACATCGGTTACCACCGAGAAGATGACGATGATAGAAGACTAAAATACTGATGGCGATGATTCTAAATTGACAATGTTGTGTATTCATCTAATTCGTTTTCTAGATCTAATATAATAGAAGAGAATAGAGAAAAACTGTTGTTATTACTGAGCGACTTTCCTTTTACTTAGTCATTTTACTTTTTCTTTTGCCTGTTACACTCTCCTATATTGCATCATTTTGATACCAGATCTTCAGATCACCGAAGTCGTGGATAAAGCTAGAGGGCGTATTACGATTGTTGTTTCTGTTTTTGACACCGAATTTTTCTTCTTTATTTCCTGTATACCTGGTGTTCAAGAAGCACACTTATTAAATAAAACTGAAAGCACTCTTTAGTTCAGCGACCGAACAGTTATTACCACATGATATTACATTTTCAAAAAATATAATTAAGGAGGCCCAGACTTTTAGGTAAACCTAATCTTGTAAGTAAAAAGTCCCACGTTGTTGATCCGCGCGAAGCGCTGACCCAGAGCCTCATTGTTCTTGTTCTTCTTGTTCTTGTTACTAAAACTTCAACAATTTTTAAAGCGTCCAGCGTCTCCAGTTTTGAACGGACGTGCATGAAATTTTGTAAACTACAGGTGATTTCCAACAAACGTTCATCGCCCTTTTTAAAGTTTATCCCCAGGGTTCCCCTGCACCTACAAAACAAAACAGGGGTTTCAAACTTTAAAAGCGTCCAGCGTCACCAGTTTCGAACGGACGTGCAGGAAATTTTGTACATATAAACTTGAGGTGATTTCCAACAAATGTTCATCGCCCTTTTTTAAGTTGGACCCCAGGGTTCCACCTACACCCCCTACACCTAAAAAAACAAACTGGGCTTTCTAACTTTTAAAGCGTCCAGCGTCGCCAGTTATGACCGCATGTGCATGAAATGTTGTACGCCCTTTTTTTAAGTTGGACCCCAGGGTTACTCCTAAACCTACAAAACAAAACAAAACAGGGGTTTCAAAATTTAAAAGCGTCCAGCGTCGCCCGCTTTGAACGCACGTGCAGGAAATTTTGTACACATAAACTAGAGGGGGTTTCCAACAAATGTTATCGCCCTTTGGACCCCAAGGTTCCCCTTACACCCACTACAACACAAAACAAGGGTAGGGTTTCAGCAAGGACTGTACATTACTTCCATTTACCACTACCGTAATAAGGTCGTGAGTTCGAATCGCGTATTTAGCAAGTTTGAATCGCGTATTTATTTATTTTTTGTCAAACAGTTCTCGTCAATGTTCATTAAAGAATTAACCGAGGCGCGATTCGAACTCGCGACCTTCGGATAAGGATGTGTTCTAAAGCACTTAAGGTCGTGAGTTGGAAACGCGTCCTGGTATTCAATTTTAAGAATATTTCTTGTACAAATAAACATTTTAAATATTAAAAATTACTGTACATTATTGCCATTACCACTAATAGGGCACGTCGCATGAATGGCGCGTTCGGGTAAAGACATGTTCTAAAGAACTTAAGATCACAAGTTCGAAACGTGTCTTGCCATTGCATTTTTTCCCCAATTTGTTTATTTATTTTATTTTTGTACAAATGATCATTTTCAATATTGTTTATTTAAAAAAAATATATTCTGATTATTAAAAAATGTCTATCTTATTAGCTCTCCAAAAAAACCCAATATAAATAACTTGCGCCTGTACCGTATTTAAGCATGGAGGAACGCGCGGACTTGGTGAGCAAACGCTCTTGTTTGATTAAGTATTGATTATTTTCAGCAATGAAAGATCAAATTACTTTACATAATAATGTAAACACTTTCTTAATTAGAACCAATGTCAAATTAGAACTTTAATTGGTGGTTAAATATTGTGTCGTGATTACTGCTGGTATTGTCATTATCGTTGACTTTTTAACCACTAAGCTATTCTTCTTATATAAAATCAACAAAACGATTTTTACCCCAGCCAACAGCACTGAAGGCATAAAGGAATTTTCTCGTGAAATTGTAATTTCTTGAGGCCATATACAGATGAATTCCTTCCACTATCATCCACATAAAAGCCGACGTAAAGCAATAGTGAATTGCTAGCGTCATCGTGTTGCATATACCCTGAAAGAAATATGACACTATATATATATCTGTCTCTTATACACATCTAGATGTGTATAAGAGACAGGTATTCAAGAAACTGACCATGGTATGTACACATGCAATTTGGTTTTTACATCATATCCACCTGGAAATACACAACTGTCTTTGTCATCACGTGCTCCAATTATAATACGTGACTTCATTTCTCAGCCTCGCTGTTCCGCCACACCAAGTAAACATGAAACTGGACAGCAACAGGTAATACTGTTATGTACATGTTCTCCAAGTTATCCTTTCATGACACTGCACTGGATTAATAATATGGGTGTTTTCTTGACATCAGCATCTCAGGTGCAATTTAACGAACTGTTGACAATATCACATACAGTTTCCAATGTGTCTGAATCAAGCAACCAGTTGTTCACATG